GAAGTTTCAAGAAAAAATACCACTTTTAAAATTGGTACAATTGGTACAATGGTAAAATTGGTAAAAAAAAAACAGTTGTTTTTGGAGGCCTTAAATAATGTAAAACCTGAAAACTGGGAAAAGGCAGTAAATCACACTATTAAAGAAGAGGAAAAAATGTGGAAGCTGGACAATATTAATGATAAAATGATCGAGCCAGTTATTATAAATCTTGGTTCTGAAAGTTCATCTTCTGAATCTGATTTGAATTTGTAACAAGTAGCTGTAAGTTTTATATTAATATTTTTATTCACCTATTTAACATACCTTAGACGGTTGTAAAAACTCTTTTTCTCTTTTGTAATTTTTAAAAATTTAAAAAAATGTGAATTTTTTAAAACTCTTTTTAATGTAGGCCAGTCAGTTCTAATTTAGTGTGTGATAAAAGAGGTCACTTTTGTTTACATACACATAACACTTTATAACACTGAAATAATTCATTTATTTTTTACAATTATTCAAATTAATTTTTCAATTAATCTTGAGCACGCCCATGGAGTGGTCGGAGGTACCAGTTAAAATTATGCTAATTACTCTCTCGTTCATAAAAATAAACTATAACTCATGTATTGTTTATTGGCCATTGAACTGAATCAGGCAATGATTTTGCTTAATCCGAAGCTATTTCCAAGCGTAATCTTATATACTAAAAGGCTAAGCCCTTTTCTTGTGCGCAATCCTCCTCCTAAACGATGACAGATAGGAGAATATTTTTTTCGAATAATTAAACAGATTGTAGAGTAGATTTCCCCTAAGGTTTCAAATTTAAAAAATTCAAACCGGTTTAAAAATGGCGGCCATAAAATAAATTTTTCCTTTAGTAAAGTATAGGAATTTTACAGGTTTCATTCTTCAAAATTTACAGTCCTAATTTTCATTGTATTTTTAAAATATGACCGCGTCTACATTTTTCTTATACTTACTTATTGAATTCAGAATTATGAAACCGGAAGTATTTACTTCCCTACTTCCGGATTTAGTTTTGAAAATTATGGTTTTTTTCACGGTGTTCCAGAGCATATGGACAAGGTCGCGAGTTCTCAAACCGAGTTATTTCTCTTAAACGTGGCATTTTACAATCTAAATGCAAAAAAAGTTACTTCCGGTTTTACTTCCGTTTTTATTTAAGAGGGGCGGAGTCTAACAATCATATTGTTTCCGTTTCCTAATGTAAATCTTGCTGAAAATCCTAAAAAACTACTGTATCGATTTTCACTTTAAAAAAATTGGCGTCGATACAGTTTATTTTTAGGATTTTTGGAACATTTACACCAGACGACAAAAACGATGGATCGTTAGACTTCGCCCCTCTTAAATATCAGCAAAACTTACATCAAAACTTGATGTCGAGTTGGTCCGCTAGTAAAGCTACTGTTGTAATATAACCTTATTATATATATATAACCTGAATATTTCAAAAACCTGGGGGGATATTCCACACTACTGTAGGGAAAAGTTCGAGAAGCACCTGCTTTTTAAAGTGTTTAAATGGAAAAGTTGATGAATGTTTTTGATTAAATGAACTGAAGGAACGTCGTTATCAATATCAGTAGCTCGACAACCCTTTCTGGCTCCTGGCTTGTTCTAGGATTTTCCGCCATTTTGTTCTGTTCTTTGCTTTGTTTTGAACTGAAGGAACGTTAAAACAAAATAGGTATTTTGACTCAATTGTCCAATATTGCTTCAATCAACGAAACATTTAACCATCTTCAGGTTGATAGTAGAAAATTCGTAATGAATATCGTCTTCATTGAGGACGAGGGTTATTAACATTGCGAATTGTATTTTATTAGCGAGTACATAGTCTAAATGGCTCCACAGATGTCAGGGCAAGCCTGCATAGACTTTGTATCCATTAGTTTATTCCCTCTCTACCTTATCTTGGACGACAAGTTGCTGGTGGCGATATATCTTAAATGTCATTGGATGTCAAGATTCCAGCTTCCCCTTCTTCAAACAGTTTCTCTTGGCACTGAAGTATGTCAGGATATTCCGAGAATTCGTTGATATAACCAAATTTCAAATATAAATAGCGTTTTCAGTAGTTGTGTTGTGATTGTCTATGCTTATACACTACACAGTAAAAGCATTTCTTTTGTGTATCTAACAATTTCTAATTTTTAGATGCGCTAGACTCAAAAGGGCATAGGTACAGGATGTGTAACCCAAGAATACCCTCTGAATTTGTAGAGACTAAAATTATTCCTGAACAAGCAGGATTTAGACCCGAAAAAATGCTGCTGCAGTCAAACTCTTAATCTTACCCAACATGTTGAAGATGGGTTTGGATGGAGAGAAATAACAGGAGTAGCGTTTATGGACCTGACTGCCGCCTATGACACAGTTAACCATTAATGGCTGCTGGTAAATCTCTGCGAAATTACGAAGGATTTCCGACTAACAAGGTTAATGAAATGTCTTCTCCAGAATAGATGCTTCCAGTCCAAGAACAGTAGGTGGGGGTATCAAAAAAATGGGACAGTGTCCTCGCGCCGATGCTATACAACATTTACACCAACGACCAATCCAAAAACCAACCAACAAGACAGTTTATTTATGCGGATGATATAGCTGTGGCATCTCAGAGAGGTACCTTCAATGAAGTCGAAGTAAAACTGACAGATGTCTTAGAAACACTATACTAGGACGAAATCCATTTTAAACCCAATCCTACAAAACCCAGGTGTGTGCTTTCTACCTTGGAAACAAGTATGCTCGAAGTACACTGGAGGTGAAATGGCGTGGTCAGATGCTGGAACACAATGAGACGCCAAAATACCTGGGCGTATGTCTGGACAGAACTCTGTCTTAGCGATATCACTGTCAAGATGTCAAGAAAAATGAAAGCTCCAGAAATAATATCATCCGCAAACTAACAAATACAAAATGGGGAGCACAACCACACACTCTGCATACTTCTGCCTTAGCATTATATTTTTCTGTTATCGAGTGTGGAGTACCAGTGTGGGAAAACTCTGCTCACGCTAAAAACGTCGATTTTGCATTAAATGAATCAATTCGTATAATATCGTTAGCAGGTGGAATCGCTCCACCGCTATCAGAAGACAGGTCACGTCAGAGATAAAACGAAAGAAGCAGGAGACGAAAGATCGAAGACACAACTTGTATGACCACCAGTTTCAGCCAAGTAGACTAAGGTCTCGGAAAAGCTTACTGAAAAAATTACAATCCCTTCCCAAAGAGCCAAAGACACGCCAAATATACCTATGGCAAGCGTCAGCTGCAACACATTTTGCCACCTCAGAGGAAATGACCGCTGGACACAATTTGTCGTATCCACATGGAAAGCGCTAAATGGACTAAGAAGTGGCGTTTCACATTGTGTTAGTAACCTGAAGAAATGGAGATACCTGATACCAGGAGGACGATGCTTGCGACTTGGCGCGATTCAGAAAAGTCACCATTCACTATCATGCACAGAAATGAGAGAGACCTGCACAGAAGAAGACCTATTTTTAGCGAATGACAGGGCCATCTATGTGACCAACCATTTTAATACAAAAGTGAAAGCTGTTGGTGTTCCGGACTGAAAGTAAGTAAGTAACCCAAGTATATACAAAATCAACACACTTTAAAAGATCTTTGAAATACCATTCAAATTCTTTTTCACTATATTCCAACTATTCGTCCATTTTTCAATGTTTAAGTATAACGTGGTAGGTATAATTGATAAGCAGTCACCTTGTAAACCTCTACTTCAGTTCATAAAATATTTTTTGGCTCCAAAAATGCCCGACGAAATGTAAATTAAGGCCTGGAGTTTAACGTACGAAGGGGTTATCAAAGGGCGAATGTAAAATAAGAAGTAAACACTGTAAAGGGTCATGAAAAAGCGGCATACATAAACGTGTGACACAGAAACTCGCTTACTGGCCAAGGATTTTTATACCCTCGTAAAAATCGGCGATGGAGGTTTAAATTATGTTTATAGGGTTGCAAACTACAAGTGCTAAGATAAACGTGGCTAAAACTGGAATATCACGGTAGATTTGTAAGGAAAATAGGCCTGTAATTTGATTTATAGGTAAAGGAGACTTTATTTTTGGACCATTTTTATTGCTTTCGTCTTCATTGCGTGATAATATATTATCTTATCGGAACTAATAATAAAACCGGCCACATTTAGAACAAATTAGTTTAATGTAAATTAGTGATTAGTTCTTCTTCTATTTTAGCTTTTATTACGTATGTTTTGATATCTACTTTGATCATTTTGATTATATTTAGTGATGTTGGTAGTGTATAATAAATCAATAATCCTTCTTCCTTTTTAACTAGATCTTTTATTAGTTCGTTCATCTATTTTCGTTGTCCTTCGGACATTCTCCATATTTCATTCTTAATTTGAGACATCTTTCCAAAAATACCAAGAATACATACAAAGTTTGGGTCGGAGAAATAGTAAATGCTAAAAAACTAATAACTTCAAAGATTTTTACCAAAATAGTCTGCGAACTAAATTTTATGATTCACGTCTTGGAGGCTGCCAAATCTTTAAAGGTATTTTTTTTCATCTTTGTTCGGAAATTAGCCAGTTGCACTGATCATCTAAATAAGTATTTATTATCCGCTTATGCCCGTTCTTAGCATAAATTACTACTTTATATAATAAATTACATTTAATTAATTAACTAAAGCAGCATTAAAATAAGACGCACTCTAGCTAGTTTAATAGAAAGCCAAATAAAACTCAATTTACATCCCAGCCCAACACAAAACTATAAAATTTAAAAGAAAACTAAAGTAATAAAGATAGGACCATAAATTCATTTTATTATTACGTATAACGACTATTGCAACTTTTATTGCACGTAAAATACAGCAGCCATATAAAATATAAATCTATTATATTCGTTGAATATTCCAGATCACTTAAAAATACTTGTCCGTTGCGTATTGTTAGTTGCCTATCTAGCGGCGCATACACATACCGTAAGACCGTAATATTCATGAATAAAAAGAAGAAATATAGGTTACAGCAGGTTAAGGGTAATTTTTTTATATTATTTAAAAAGCAATTAAAAACAAAACGAAAAAATTATTTATCATCTTGCAAAATGAACCTCTCAGCTGTATGTTTTAGAAGGTAAGTTTCATTTATTTATATAAACAGAAAACAGTCAAAAAATTTGAGAAAATTTCTGTTCTTTAGGACCCCAGTCGTAAATTCCTCGTTAAAGACATGGGTACGAGGTTTCAGCAGTAGCAACGCTGAAGAAAAAATCGAAATTCCAAATAGGATACCTAGAGGTCCAACAGACATACTCAGAGCATTGGAGAGTACAATAAGTAGAGACCCTACTGCATCTCACTATAAGTACCACGATGACCCATTCTTAATTCCTAAGTCGAATGTGAGTAAAAGAACCTTTGCAATGGCCCAAGAAGCAGGTAAGATAGTTAACTTATTTAAATATGATAAAAAATTGCATCAAATGGTATTTGTTTTAGGTCGTAAGGCAGCTCACTGGATAAGAAAAGAGCATGCAGATCTTTTCAATCATCTTGAAGCTGATCCTATTGTACCTTCGTTTTTACCAAAACTAGTATACACTGAAGATAGCAAAGTAACAGAAGATGATTTGAAGAAAGTAATTCAAGATATCCAAATTTTGGATGCACAGTTAGTTTATCAGTTGTTGAAGAAACAAGGAGTAGCGATATCTCCTGAAACACAGCAAAGTCTGTTAGAGTTAGTGTGTTATTTCAACAGTGATGATACATTGCCTGAAGAATTTATTGAAGAGAGATGGTTTAAACAGAGTTCTAATCAGAAGGAGAGACAAAGGAAGACTTGGAAGTGAGTAAAATTTGTTTATCAACTTCTACAAACTGTTAATTCATATGAATAATGTATTTTACTCTGATATTATGATCTATTATTGAGAATTGTTGGTTATGTGGTTGTATTTTAGGGACGGAAGTTTTGCAGAGGAACTATTCCAAAGCATAGAAAACCCAACAGCTGAATCATACTCAGCTATGATCCAAGGTATGTCCAAGTACTTTCAAGTTGACAGAGCTTGGAAACTGTTTGAAGAAGCCCAACAGAAGGGCCTCATTCTTTCCACAAACACCTATAACTCCCTTCTGAAAGTAGCGAATTTTCTCAAAGAAAGTTTTGAAATGAGATGGACTTTCATAGTTAATCTTTTGTCTGATATGAACAGAGCAGGTGTCAAGCCAAATTTGGGGACTATGAATGCTGTTTTGCACTCTCTGAGTACCATGGGTAGAGGGAAAGGTGTCAGGGAATATGCCTTGCAAATTTTAGCCGAGTTTAGGGGACTTGGTGTTGAACCGTCTTTAGGAACTTGGTATTATGTGCTGATTACATATTGTAAAGAGAGTAAGTATTTATATCAACTGTTATTTTTCTTACTTTATTTTTTCCACATTAAATCAAAAAGATGAAATAAATTTGTAGTTTTTTTTCTTTTAATTTTCGCTTAGTTAAAATTGTAAGGTTAGAGTAGGTTTAATAGGGTTAGGTTTGGAATTAAATTTTGAGGACAGGAAAATAAAAGACATTTTATTTTGACAAAAATTTATTAAAGCTACATAATATATTAAGTATAATTACTTTATTTTTAAAGGCCACAGCTAGAAAGATCATGCAAGTAGACACTTTCTAGTTGTTATTATAGGGAAAATAGACATTTTCTAGTTGTCTCTGTATCATTACATAGATTTCTGCAAATAAAAGTCTTAATTAATAAGAAATTTGGCTAAGGGATAATAGAAAAAGATTTGGCAATCTTGTCAGCCACAATATCAAACAATCATTTAAAATATATTATATGTCTTCAAGCCATATTACTTTTCTCTATATTTGGACACTGAATTAATTCACAGTATGATTTAGGAGGACCTATTAGCACCATTCTTCATGATATAATGCCTCACATTGAAAATAAAGTCCATAAAATCAAAGACCAGAGTGATACCTACTTCTTCGTCACAGCCATGGACATATGTAGGAATCACTTGAAGGATGTGGAGCTGGCTAAAAGAGTAGATAAGTTGCTGCACTTTGGATCCAACTATGACCTTATAGGAGACTCTTACAAAGAGTCGATATACTAGTAAGTCAGTTTTATTGTATGTATCTGCAAGTGGTGATATATTTTAAATTTCAGCCGTCACTATTTCGTGCTTCTAGCCACTAGCATACCGTTAGAAGAATTCATGACTACCACATATGAAATCCTAGTACCTAATATTTATGTGCCAGAACCAGGCGTCATGGCAGAGGTCCTCAAACAAGTCGAACTGAATGGTGCTATAGAATATATACCCAAATTGTGGTCTGATATGACAGTATTTGACCAAATCGAACAAGAAAAACTAATTGAGTCGATTACAGCTATTATGGTTAGTAATGTACCTGACAAAAGTTCTAGTTTGAATGAGAACTTTGCTAACATCGCATGGGATATTCATACTAGGGTTGAAAATCAGAATATTAACAAGGTTAACAAGCTAAGGTAAGGTAATATTGCACTATTTATTTACTGTACTTTTCATTTACTTGGCATTTTCACAGTTTGACTGGAAACCTTCTTGGAAGGATACTGTTGCTCATCTTAAGAAATAACGATTTCGAAAAGGCCTGCATAATCATGGATAAACTGGATAAGGATCATCAAAGTATCGCTGGCGTACCAGAAATTGAGGCTTTAGAATGCTTTATTGATAGCTGTATTGAGAGGAGAGCGCCATCTAGAGCCATCGTAAGTACACTAAGATTACTTTGTTTACTTAATAAATAACCTTTAATGAATAAATTTGTGTAGTGACAAAAATTTACTAAAATTCCACAAGTTTTTCAGTATGAGTAAAGAAATTGGAAGTAAACTGTGGAGTACCTATTTTACATTTTCATATATATTATGTTGAATATATCCCACATTACTCAATAAATGCCAATTCTGGCAAATAGATTGCATCATAAACGCCACATGTTAACATTTTAACACATTAGGACTATTAGTTTTCAAGTTATAGTTATTTAATTCAAGATGCTTTCCCTATATTCAATTTTACACATGGTCTTTCACTCATTGTTTTTATTTTCAAGGCATGTATCCAGTATTGTGCTGACAGTGGATTCCAGGAAGCTGGTATATTTGCTGCGAAGCTTAACGAGAAACTAACACTTGATGAATCACATCTGAATAGTCTATCGAGGATCGTAGGTGATGTGAAGCTGGCCAAAGTCTCAGACCAAAGTTGAGGATTATTTTTGATGTCGAGCAGTTGATTTTCTGGCTTTATTATGTTTAAATCAATGCTGCAACGAACATAAGAGTTTGGAGTAGTGTGAAAGTGTATTTTTAAGAAAGTAAGTGTATAGTATGTTAAGTTTTGTAAATAAAAAATGAAATCTTTCTTTCCCCTTTACTACTTATACCTTAGCTGTTGCCTTTATGTGGTCTGATTGTAAAACTCCATCAATTTTTACAATAAGAATTGTGTATAACTATATGAATTATTATTATATGAACTGAAATTTTTGGAATAATTACATATATTTGTTCAAAATCTATTTCATATGATATTATTTGTAAACTGATAGACCAAGAAAGGTGAGTACTATCCAGTAATATATTTATATTAATAGGCGAACAAACTCCTCATATAATGTGCAGAATTTGTTTAAAAATGTATAGAAAGACAGCGTATATATTTATCAAAATAAAAAATGCCCAAGTATTTTTTTTGCTCTACTTTAATAAGAATGTTGTATAATTTAATCACAAACATCCAATCACGAGCTTATTAGTCAAATTCACATAAAAAAAACATTGAGACCAAAGAGCTTTATTATAAAAAGTCATACAAAAATAAACAAATTACAAATTTACACCATTAATAAGATAAATAGCTTCATTATCACACCCACATATGACCTTATTTCTATTGAGATCTAACGAATTAATAGGCTTGCCAAGAGTGGGCATAAGAGTGAAGACATCCAACTTGTTTTTTACATTATCGGGTGCCAGCCATACATTAGCCTCAGCAGTATCTAACAAAAGTGAGGGAACTGCAGCTGCTTTTGTGGTCCAATGCCAAATTTCTCCAGAGCTTGAGCAAGTAAAAAGCTGATCTGGACATTCGGGATTGAATTTTATCTCAGATACTGCACCTTCATGTGCATTCAGTACATTTACTGGATAGGTGTTATGACGTAAGTCCCATGTTGTTAATGAACCTGAAAGAGTAATCTATTAAGAACTTGTTCAATGTTTTTCACAAGTTTCTTACCTAAATCGTCACCAGTAATCACCAAATGTCTTTGAGTGGGATGAAAAGTAAGACAAGTAGGTGTCACTTGTTCCCCACTGATCATAAAAGTACTATTAGGCTTGCCATCGGTGCTTCTCAAGTCCCAAATTTTCATCTGGCCCCGCAAGTTGCTGGTTAATACTTCATTATGTTTTAAAAATATTACACAGTGTATAGAGCAGCTATCAGCATTATCTACAATATTTCCATTTAATAAAAGAAACAAAATCGTCATAAGTTATTACCAATTTTCCTTACAACCTTTGGAGACTTAGCATTCAACAAGTTAATAGTTCCATCTTCTCCAACTGTGACAACATCGTTTTCATATGTAGTTAAAGAAGTGCATGGACTTTCGTCACCATTTTTAAACTCATGTATCTTACTCCAACTAACTTCATTCTTTAATTGTGTACTTTCTGTGTAGGAAGGTATAATTTTCTTGAGATGTGCAGATCCACTAGACGAAGATGTTACAAAGTAATCAGCATTCAAAAACTAAAAATTAAGAGTGTTCAATAACATATTTATCAGAATTTATGTTCAAATGTACCTCAATTTCAGTAACGTCCCCACAATAAGGTTCATTGAATACTAAGAAGGGATATATATCATCTTCTTCAATGTTTTCACAAAAATCCCACAATTTAATATTATTTTGAACATTATCTACACTTCCTGTGACGAAAAAGTGACAATTATTAAATTCGTCAGGCCTCCAACGAATCTTATTAATCTTTTCAGATACAAAAGTACCGTGTAAACTGTGAGACATTATTAATTTTAAAATTTATCTGCTAAACATCAACGAACTTAACCTAAAAAACCAAATTATTGCTTATTTGCCGTGTCCGTGTTTAACTTCACTTCAGTCAACTTTGACAGGATGTTCAGAATAATTACTAGGTTAAAGACCAGTAATTTTTTTGATGTTTGTTTTGTATTGTTAGTTGTCTATTGTTAAATATTTTATTTTATCTAGGTGAATAGTTTATTTATTTCCTTTTGTAGAGCAGCTCATACATGGAATATATTTATTACGTTTCTTTGAAACTTTTATTTCCAATGGACGTCTAAAAGTAATTTTCAGTTAAATTGAAACGATCTAAAACTAAAGGAAATAGGCTAAAAATAGGACACATTCAACAATGGATGAAGCTAGTGGACTTCCTCATGGACCCCCAATGAATATACTTCCTCCGACCCCAGCAGGGTTGGAGAGTTTGTATTCACTGTGTAGAAAAATATATCCTGATCAGGTTAACCCATTACAAGTCACAGCATTACTCAAATTTTGGTATGTACATTTAAATATTCCTTTATTGCGATTTGATGTAATATTTTCAATTTTTGAGGTGAAAGATCTGATTATTTTGTAGGTTGGGTGGTCCTGATCCTCTTGATTATATTTCTATGTATGCTAACCCTGGAATACCACATGAAAATATACCTCCACATTGGCATTATATTAGGTAAGCAATTTTAAGAGACAAAATTTGTAATATTTAAGTAATAACCTCTTTTTAGTTTTGGTTTATCAGATTTGCATGGCGATGGAAGAGTCCATGATGTTACTGGACCAGAAAGTCTGTCTGGATTTGGCTTCGAATTAACATTTAGATTGAGAAGAGAGCCTGAGGAAACAGCACCGCCAACTTGGCCTGCAACATTAATGCAATCTTTGGCTAAATATGTTTTTCAGTCAGGTAACATATAAAATTATCTATTTTATTGTTAGGAAAGTCTGTAACTTAAAATTTTCACTCAGGTAATTCTCTGTGCTCTGGTGATCATGTTTCTTGGCATTGTGCCCTGGACAACAGCGAATCAAGAATACAACATATGTTAATGACAACAGATCTACAATTGAAGACAGCACATACTCCATTTGGAACTGTGGACTTTGTTCAGATTGTAGGAATATGTGCTGAGGAATTGAAGGCAGCTCAACAGTGGAATGGAGCTGGTATTTTAGATATGATTACAAGGATACCTTCGTAAGTCTGTACTACAATAATTTATATAATTGCCATAATAAACCTGTAATTAACAAAGATTGAGCAATTTTGGATGTATTTGTATAAAGTTTTTGCATCAAAAGTCAATCAGTTTCCTGTAAAGGAATTTCTAGCATCTTAGCAATTTTTTGACTCAGTTTGCAATCAATTTAAGCATATATTTAGACATAAAGTCCTTACTGAGATATATTCAATGTGATTTTATTTATAGAGCTGGGGTACTTGGCATATAACAGATATGAGAAGAGGAGAAAGCATATTCGAACTTGATATGAATGCTCATGAAGAAGTGGAAAGAGGATTTGAGTTAGAAGGATCAAATTTGAGTGGAGTCAGTGCTAGATGTTCATGGAATGAACAAGATTCATCTAAGCTGGATATTGGGCATTTAAAAGATCCAAATGATGAGCTAAATGATGACCTAAGGATGAATTCTGTCTTACAAGGTGAGATTTTTAAATTCAATGATTGTACTTATTATTTAAAAACCCATAGTTCTATTTAACTAATATCTTTAACTTATGGAAGACATACAAAAATGAAAATGTCCTAAAATTGACATTTTCATCTGTTAAACTTTCTGAATAAAATGTGTTAAAGCTGTTCTTAAATGTGTCTTAAAATTGAAACTTTACTTCTGTATGAGCTTTTACAATAATAATTTTTTGATATCAAATTGATAGAAAATACTAAAATGAGTTTTTCTCTGATTTAGGCCGCTGTGTTGGTGAATCAGCTGAACTGATCAATGTCAGAAAATTGGAAGGAGTACATTTGGTGTTCAATTTGGAAGCTGGAAGCCTGCTACCTTTAGCAATTCGGTGAGTATATACCCAATGCGCAAGATTATTGTGCTTAATCCAAGGATTATATTATTTAAAATAATTTCCTTATAGGGGCAGAGTTAAACATGGTAGACATTTTACATTCAAATCAATATTGGGCGAGACAGCTGTCACTCTAGTAGCAGATTCTGTAACAGGAACTTTGGTTGATTCTGAGAATCATTACGTCTCTCAAGGATCTTGGTTACAAGTATTGATACCTGACGATTTAGCCCAAGATATGGCAGTCACCTTTCAGGTAAATAAAAGAAACAAGATATGACTTATTAGGATCTTCACTTTTTTGTTGTGTCAATGATAATAGCTAAAATTGTATGTTGCATATTTAAATTCCAAAAATTAGTTTTTTCTTACCTTTAAGCATTAGTAATTGATTGTATACCATAATCGTATAGTTTTACAAGGATAATTTGTGTTAAAAACGTTAAAATCATAAAATATATTATTCTTTTATTCATTTTTGTCCATTTTTAGGTACTGGCAAACCCAGAAGCTTTATCGTTACCGAAAACTTTTTCATGGCCAGATCGAAGACTCTCCATAACCATAGTCTCTGATAAGTTACAATAAACCATTTTTATTTGTTGATATTTCCCACTTTACCAGACATCGACTTTGACTACACTGTAAAAAATACACTGTAGCAAAAACTACAATATAACTTCCACAATTAGAGACTGATTGGTATATTTAGTAGTCTCAATATTGTTGGTAGTGTATACATGTATACAATTACAAAGAATTGCAATATTTTTTCTAATAAGGTTGTAGGTTAAGTTTTGTTTTTATAAAAGTGTAATTTTTATACCAAGTTATAACTCCAGGATGGCAATAAACTAGATGTTTGTTAATTATACCAGGTGATACAACTATAAATGTACATTTTTTACTAACTTCTGTATTAAAAACTAGTTTTGTCTAATCTATGTCTTCCCTATACTATTTTTCTCTTTCATTTTGATGGTATTCATGCCCGCACAATGATAAGAGGCTTTTTGTAAAGAGACAACTAGTACAGGCATTTATTCAACTCACACTATACAAAACACAAAAGACCTATGTCCAAGACATCCTGGTAAGAGCAAGCTGTTAGACCTTAGACTGAGAAATTTAGTAATTGTAATATACAAAGAGACAAAAAGTAAGAAATCAATGTTGGATACATGATATTGATGTACATTTTTGTCACTTTGTAAGTGGAGTATGCCCTGATATATCATTTGTGAGGAAAACAATATGTATTTGTAGACCTAAGTGTTTTTTCCAAAATTATTATATTTATTTTAAAATTGGAGCTCTCTAAATAGTTCATGTAACACATTTTTGTAGAAGTACTCAGTTTTTTATGATTTTGTAACCTAGATGGCATAATTTTGTCTAGGTTGTGTATAAGAAGGTAAGAGGTCATATGACAATGCAGAAAAGTAGAATAGTTAAGACCTTCTGCAACTCTTCACACAAGCCGGAATATTACTAGGTCTTCAGGAATGACATATAGGGTCTGTAGTCAGTTAAGATCATTGTTGGAAGTCCAATTTTCTAGTTCATACATCAAAGTAAGATAGTAGAAGGTTTAGAATTAAAATAAAACTAATATCAGTATTAAATGTCAAAACACAAATATAGCCACTTGACAGCACCTACAAACAATGTATAAGAAGCAATTTTATACTTGAACTCAAATGTTATAATCTTCATTAACGATTTAGTGTGTTATATGAATTATAATTATAATGTATTTAATTTTTATACTAATTTTACACAAGAAACTACCTTCTAGGTCAGAATGCCCATTAATATTATATGGATTATAAAAAATTAGTGACCTAGACTAAACAAAGTAAAAATTCGGCATAATATTAACTATATCTTTCAATTTGTCCATTCGTTAAATATCGTGCAATATCAAATGCCTTTTTATAATCAACATAATCGAAAAAGTTCTTTAACTATGATGGTTACATACGTGGCAGCTAATTCGCGGCCTATGAATGGTAGTTCTCAGTATGAATTCCATTTATTTATATAATATTTATACTATTTAAATGATGTGCCTTATATTTATATACATATATAATAAAAATTCAAAATGATGTTTTAAGTTTTTAATTTAAAATATAAATACAATACATTTTCCTGTCCTGTCAATACAATTTTCAGTTAGCGATGTGGAAATTATAATTTTCATTTGTAATTAAACTAATCTTTAAAACAAGAAATTTTGTGTTATGTTTCTATGATTTTTTTTAGATGTGCCTATCTTGTACAGATGTTGGCAACCACATTGACCATTGTATTCTATTCACAGCAGCTCGAAATAGATCAGTTGACGTTAGACCAGTCTATTTCCTAAGCTTGGATATACGTGTAGGTCCAAGGCCTCTCTTACCATCAATCTTGCCTTGTAGAATCAACTGTAGAAGTCGGTATTTATCATTACGCATGATGTGACCGAAGTAGGCCAAATTTTCTGTTTGTTATGGTGTTAATAATTTCTTTGTCTTTTCTTAGCTTCTGGAAAATAGTTATGTTACTTGTGTGGTGTTAATGAGACCCTCAATATACGTCGGTAGTACCATATTTCAAATGCCTCTAATCGTTTATGGTATATTCTGTAAGCCCCAGCTTTCCATAGAGAAGGACACTGAAGACATAACATCTAAGAATTCTATGCGTATATTGATACTTAAGATAAGTTGCGAAGAATCTTCCAAAGGCTGTTTAAACAGAATCGTACTGCAGTCTTATTCAGCAATAGAACACTCTTTCTAACGGTGTATGCCTATTGTAATTTGGGCGTTTATGTTGGTGTTCTTACTAATGATCATTATTTTTGTCTTCTTGCAATTTAGGTTTAGATCGTATTTGTTACATGCTTCTACAACGTTATCAATCATCCTTTGAAGCCCCTGTGCACTATCTTCCAGCAACATCCAGTATATCTATTTCATCCAGTGATGAAGAGAGCTCTCTTTCATATTACTGATTTTATCAATTTATTCCTGTAATCAATAACGGCAAATTTGAATATCAAAATATGGCATGTCTATAGTGTAAAGCGGATATTATAGTTGATAATCATGAAAAATAATTAACAGACAGACAGATAATATACACTTTATAGCATACAGTTAGAATCTACTCCATGCTTTATAGCTAGGTGTAAGATGCCCTTTAATATTCACAGAACATAACTAATTGACATGCGTGTGAGACATCCTTTTAGAAGTATTGTTCTTAAACTATTTAAGTAGTAATAATTACCCTTATTAGTGGTAATATTTACCCTTAATTAAGTACATACAATGCTCCGTTAGTGTTAGTAATCACAGAACATACATTTTATTGCTTACCTTGAAGCAAATATTAAAGCGTGTCTTACACGACTGTCAATGTCAATTCCCACTCACGTTTTTGATGTTCTGTGAGGATAGAAGAATCTTAGGTTCGGCGATCCATTTAAGAGTTTCTCTTTGATTGTAAATATCAAGACCATCATAAAAAAACCCTGATCAAGACTGAAGACATAATTGGATATCTATTGTGGACATAATTAACAGATAATAGAGACGAATATAATATGGGCTATATTCTTTGCTATTGATTACATTTAATATTAAAATACAATAAATTTAGAATCAACTATTATAATAAAACCAAACTGTCAGTGTAAAATGCATAAAAATTCAATTTATACCTGATTTCTTTCTGTTTTAGGTTTCCAATATTTTATTTCAAAGTAAACTTTGCATCTATATTCCTGATAGATTTCTCAAATGATGTATTGACACTTGATAAGCATTATAGCTTAACTATTGATAAATTTTATGTTACTATATCACTTTCAGCTTGTCAGAGAGTAATTCTTTTAATAGATGCCAATGATGCATCGAGTTTAGATTTTAACTCAATGCAATGATGATATCCATGTACAGACTATAGCAAACCTGCGTGTTATTAAAATGCAAATCCTGAAAGTCTGTTGCAATCTCTGTTTGATATTGATCCCAAAGATGTACTCAATGGGAAGTTAATAGTAGAATCATGATACTATGATAAGAAGATAAGATATTGCCCATAAGTCGTGACGTCATTGGAGAGTTGCACGTTCGAAATGTCAGTTTTTTGTATGTGTCAATAAATAATCTTTAATAAATAGTTTGGAGATATCCTTATGTGTACAATTATTGTAATTATTGAACTTCTTAACCTATTTTCGTCCAGTAATTTCATCACAGAATGCATACAAATCCCATTTAACTTTAACAAGAATTCAAATTCTACTCTATAATGACGGCATGCGCGAACACGACCGATTTTGGGCTACGGGAAGATCCTATCTTGTTATTCATAGTGTCATGAGTAGAATAGTAGAATATAAGGTAATAAACATCGAGCAATAAGACAAAAGAGGGAATGTAAAGGTAGTGGGGGTAAACATATTGATAGACAGGAAGTGCCATCTTGAGAGGCCACTTTAGACAAGGATAGACAGTCTCTTTCCTTGTTTAAGAAGTCAAATTTAGTTAGGTATGTTATTGTTTGTCCAACTGTCACATGAAATTTTATTTATATTGAAATCTTTTACCAATTGTGTCACTTTTAGACTATTATAGTTAATATTTAATTAAAACTTTCTCGTCTGAAAAATATTTTATAGCTATTGTTAATAAGTGTTGGAAAATTTAAATTTAGCGCCTTTGCATTTCCGGATATGTCCGCCATCAGAGGCCACTTTTTTGGTCTCCTTTTCATAACGATTAGATTCCTCTTTTATCTTTTGCTCGATGGTAATAAATAAACCTAACCTAAACTTTAAGTGGCTGTGTTATCTTATATGCATATCAATCAATTATTTTCAAACTAATCTTTGTTCTGTGATTACTGACGCTTACACGTACTTCAAAATTGTGACACACGCATGTCAATTATTTATGTTTTGTGATTACCAACACTAAAGGGTATCTTACACGTCTGTCAATTATTTCTGACCAAATCTTTGTCCAAGATTATCAATACAACACGTCGTTCAAAAGCAGTGATATGGGAAAGAGTTCAAAAGGGTGTCTTACAGATATCTCAATTATTTCCCCAAACAATTTGTAGTTTTCTGAATATCAGCATTAAGGAGATCTTACACTTCTGTCAATTATTCCTTATAAATTTTATATGTCTATGATTAGAAAAGAGAAAAAGAATTTAACCAATAATAACCACTGAATATTTTTATTTGAAATGTCTAGAAATATTACATTACATTTAATATTAAAATATAATCAATTTAGATTCACCTATTTTAATAAACACAAACTGTCAGTATAAAATACTCTAATAATTCCTATTTACTTAATCTTTTTTCGTTTTAGACTTCCAATATTTCATCCCAGCAGACGAAAATATTCTCATTCTACAGAGGTGAACTTTGCCGAGATACCTTTAGATCGAATAAGAAACTTTAGTATAATTGCCCATGTCGATCATGGAAAGAGTACGTTAGCAGACAGACTTCTTGAACTAACTGGTACTATTAAAAGTGGACAAAATCAAATTTTAGATAAGTTACAGGTAGA